TGTGAAGATTGACAGCCTTGGAGACCCTGTGGGCAGTTCCACTCTGTCCTCTAGGGGCGCTGTGGGTCAGAATTGACTCCCTGGCAGGCGGTTTGGTTTTGGTTTTATGATACTTGTACAATAACAATAGGAAACCTTATTCCAACTCTTTCAAGTTCTCAAGACCTTGGAGGAATAATAATAAAAACTAATACAGGAGGTAAACTTAATACAGGAAGCAGAATATCTATCTGGCTAGAGCATAAATTCTCTCATGATTCTGCCTGGGGTCAAATCTGGGCTCCGCTCCCACTTGCTGTATGATCTTGGGCAAGCTGCTTAGCCTCTCTGTGCCTCAGTTTCTGCCTCAGTAAAACAGACATAACAATACCAGCCCCTGCGGGTCTGCTGTCAGATGCCGCTGATGGTATAACATGTTCTAAGTGGGCACAGAATAAACACTTAACAAACAGGCACAATTGTCAGTGACGTGGCCAGAGGTGGGAAGTATGACAAAGGATCAAGAACTGGGGTTTTCCTATCTGTACCTCAGTGCCTACAACTCCCAGCAGACTCTGGGGCAGCTTTGCACATTAACCAAGGCTTTTTTGCCTCCAAGGGCTGCTGGGAGATATAGTTCTTCAATTACTTTCTTGTCTTCTGGTGACTTGGACACGGTAGGAAATGGGCACAAACGGGGGTCAGTATCTGTAAAATGTGTATCCACTTTACAGGGTTGTTGGAAGGACTCGATGAAATTTATTCATTTAATAAACATTTATGGAGCACCTTCTATGGGCCTGTTCTAGATGCCAGGGACACATCAGAGAACAAACCAGACTAAACTCCCTGCCCTCATGGAGCTGACATTCTAGGGGGAGAGAGGGAGGGAAAAAGAAATAAAAGAATATAGTGAGGATGCTCACGCATTGTGGGTGTGGTGTAGTAAATTACCTGGTATGGCTTTCCTAGCCACAAGTCTTTGTAAACTCCATGGTGGAATTTGCCATAAGCAACTGAGGAGTTCCTGAATGCTAAAGTTATCCACCTGGGGTTTTCCTGTTGAGAGCGGCACAAAGCAATGTTCTGGGAAGTTCACTCTTGCTCAGGTGCTTAGAATTCTAATGTTATGATTGGTTAGTGTGGTCACTCTGCCAGGCTCAAAAGGAGGCCTCCTAGAGGCAGGAGTGTCTCTGACTGCTGGCTGAGAAGGACGTGCTGCTGAGAGAAATGTGCTCCTAAGAAAGAGACACCAAGAGACACACACTGCTGGGAGAGAGACCGAGAGAGACTATTGGCTGAGAGATGGCGGGCCAAGAGAGACAGGGCGTTGTTCCTGAACTTTAATTGTAGCCTGATGCTTCCCTATTAAACCCCATAATCTGTGAGTTCTGTGTGGCCACTGCACCGAATTATCGAACCCAGCAGAAAGGTGGTGGGTGCTGTGGGAACGGTTGGTGTCAGGGCTGGAGGGAAGTGGCATGTCTGACCTTGCAGGAATAGGCCTTGGGCAACAGATAGTGATTCTGTCTTCCTCTTGTGGGGTTAGAGGAGGTCAGAAGTTGCAGCCTCCCTGCCCCTTTGGCAGTGGGGAATGTAACTGATGTCCCTGAACCACTTGTGTGTAAACTGTTGAATGGGAACCTAAACTGCTGCGTAAACCTTAACGGAAAACACAATAAAATACTATTTAAAAGAACGACACCTGGTGACAAGTGCTAAGATAAAGCAGGAAAGGGGAACTGGGCTTGGGGGTTGGGGGACTGGATGAAGTTTTTCAAATGGTGGTCAGGGAAGGCCTCCCGAACAGAATGGTGATATTTACCCAAAGACCAGAAGGACATGAGGGAGCCAGCCCCGAGGGGTTCTGGGTAGGGTGCTCCAGGTAGAGGAAACAGCCAGTGCAAAGGCCCCGAGGCAGGAAAAGCCAGGAAGCAAGGGTGGGTGGATCAAGTGAAGGAGGAGGAGTGGGGAGTGAGGGCAGGGAGAAGACAGTGAGAGGCCTCGTGGGTCACAAGAGGAGTCGGCCTTTTCTCTGAGTGAAACAGGAGCCATGGAAAGCGTCACATGGTTAATGGTGTCAACTTGGCTAGGCTATGATTCTCAGTGGTGTGGCACACACTGGCCTATCTAATTACCCCCCACAATGTAATGGAATATCCCACAGTATAATTACCCTCCGTAATATAACAACCTAATGGAATGACCTCCCATGGTGTGATCTGATACAGTCAGCCAATCAGCTGAAAGGAGAGTTTCTTAGGGGGTGTGTCCTGCCTCTACTATATAAAAGGATGTTCTGGTAAAGTCCATGGAACCCTAGTGGTACAATGGTTAAACAGTCTCACTGCTAACTGAAAGGTCTATGGTTTGAGCACACTAGCCCCTCTGAGGGAGAAAGATGTGTCAGTCTGCTTCTGTAAAGATTCCAGCTTTGGAAATCCTATGAGGCAGTTCTACTCTGTCCTGTAGGGTCACTATGAGTCAGGATGGACTCAACAGCAATGGGTTGGGTGGGGTTTTTTTTGGTTGGGCATGGCTTACTTGTTCTTTCTTGACCCTACCCTCATCTTGTCACCTGACCTCTGGTTCTTGGGACATAAGCCTGCAGATGTCTCTGACCTGCTGCCTGACCTGTAGATCTTGGATTCACCAACCCCGACAACCCCAGGAGCTAGCACAGGTCTCCAGCTGGCTGCCTGGCCCACAGAGTTAGGACTTGCCAGCCTCACAACCGTGTGGGCCACTTCCTTGCAATGAACGCCTCTCTTCATATTTATACACGTTTCACTGGTTATACTGCTCTAGAGAACCCACATTAAGGCAGATGCCTTCAGAGCAGGGGAGAGCCATGATGCAATGGGATCGAGTAAGATTTCTTTGCTTCTGTGGGAAGCAGAATATTGCCCTTCCACAGAGGATCTATCTGGTGGCCTAGTGCCTAAAGCATGTGACTGCTAACCAGAAGGCTGGAGGTTTAAACCCACCAGCCACCCCTGGGAAGGAAGGTTGGGCAATCTACTTCCTTAGAGATGCTGCCTCAGAGGGTCGCTATGAGTCAAGTCAAGTCAATGGCAGTGACTTTGGTTTGGGCTTTGCTTCCAGTGGGTGTGGTTTGGGCTTTGCTCCCATCAAGACTGACAGCCTTGGAGACCCTGTGGTGCAGTTCCACTCTGTCCTCTAGGGGCGCTGTGGGTCAGAATCCAGCCTAGGAGAGCATGTGGGGCAGTTCCACTCTGTCCTCTAGGGGCGCTGTGGGTCAGAATCCCCTCCAGGCACTGGGTTTGGTTTGGGCTTTGCTTCTGTGAAGGTAGGAGCTCTGGTGGTGCAGTGCCTAAGGCACTTGACTGCTAACCAGAAGGCTGGCGGTTCAAACCCACCAGCCACTCCACAGAAGGAAGACTGGGCAATCTACCTCCATAGAGATTTACTGTCTCAGAAACCACTATGACTCAGAACGGACTGACTTGATGACAGTGAGGTTTTTTTTTTTTTTTTTGGTGAGGTATCCTTATAATAGGGATATCTGGTGGTGTAGTGCCTAATCCCAGATGATCCCCCCCAATCCCAAGGTCCTTAAGTTAATTACACCTGCCAAGTCTCCTTTGCTGTGTTAAGTAAGGTAACACTTTCCCAGGTTCCAGGGATTAGGAAGGAGCCTTGGTGGCTCAATCGGCTAAGTGCCCTAAATGCTCGACTGATAACTAACGTTCCTGGTTAACTAATGTTAATGCTAAGTGTTTGTGGTTTGAATCCACCAGCTGCTGTATGCTATATGGGAGAAAAGACCTGGAGATCTGTTCCCACAAAGATCGAAAACCAGAAGACCACACCCACCGCCATGGAGTCCATTCCCACTCACAGCGCCCCTAGAGGACAGAGTGGAACTGCACCACAGGGTCTACAAGGCTCAGTCTTCACAGAAGCAAAGCCCAAACCACACCCACTACTAGGGAGTGGATTCTGACTCACAGCGCCCCTAGAGGACAGAGTGGAACTGACCCATAAGTGTTTCAAAACTGTTCTCTTTACAGAAGCAGAATGCCACATCTTTCTCGCACAGAGCCGCTGGTGGATTTCAACCACTGACCTTTTGGCTAGCAGTCAAGTGCTTAACCACCTAGAAAATCCTAGCGGGCAGGTTTACTCTGTCCTATAGGGTCACTATGAGTTGAGATCAACACAACAGGGATTAGGACGTGGGTAGCTTTTGGAGGACCATTATTTAGAGAACCACAAGGACACTGAGGGATGATTCCCCCCAATCATACGGAAGGCTGAAGCGAGCCTTGAAACAGGGGCTCGGAGGAGCCAGAGCTGGGCTGCTGCCGTCTCCTGTTCTCCTGAAATGAATCTAGGAGTTTCAGAAACCAGCTGGCCCTCTGCCAGCCTCCAACCCCAACCAACACTCAGCCTCAGTCCGCTGTCTCCAGGGTCCCCCGTTACCGTCTGGATCAGCAACTCCAGGTCCCGGGCCTCGAACGTGTGCTGATTCTGAGGGTCCAGGTGTTCAAACTGCTTCAGGAGGCTCAGGTGGTCCACCTGCACATCTGGACGAAGG